AATATTCTATAGATTAATAATTGTATTTAAAAAAAATTTTGTAACGAAAAAAAATGTTAAATCTTAGAAAAACAATCTTTTTGTAACAGTCAAAAACTACGAAAGTTTAAGGTTATGGTTTGTGTAAACCGTTAAAGCAGATGTTAAAAAAAATTTAGTAATGAAACTTGTATTGATGGTGATTAGTCGAAGGATGTAACTATTGAAAAATCAACAATGAATAAATCTTCATCAGCAGTTGATTTTGCAGCGTTGTGAGAGCGCTTTAATGAATTAAAATTTAAGAAAGACCTATTAATTGATTTTGATATAAAAATTTGCCATCCTACAAAGATACATAGAGAAGCTCATAGTGTTCTCGGTATACAAACGCTTAAAAACTAAAAAAAAAATCTCAGTGGACTAAAACACTTTATCACTTAATAAATGAAAAATATACAAAACAGAAAATTATCCTTGTAAAAAATAAATCAGACGAGAATACAGTAACCATTTTCATAAAGAATACAACACAATCAGTTTTTAATGCTCAGAAGTATGCTGAATTTTTTAATCCTGTCTTCAAAATTCTTTAAAAATGTCGTAACAGTTTTAAATACTCAAACTAAGACTGTAAAAATTTAAGATATCCTATGCATAAAATAAAGAAAAATTTTTGAGCAGAATATGCTGGATGATGAGAATATGTGGGATGTATTGGGAGCAGTATAATAGAAAATTTGTCAGCTGTCAAGTATACATATTCTCATTGGCCAGTGCTTGAAGCCCAAAGAAAAGGTCAATAACGTCTTTTTTCTTCACTTCGACCAAAATTAGTGAAATTGCTTTGTATTATGGTCGGGATACATGGAAAAATAGTTTTGCCCAATAAATGTGTGGGCATTTTTATTTAATAAACTATTACTGAAAATCGACCGAATTTTTTTTCAGAATTTCACTTACTACTTTTTTCAGGGACGCCGTATTGCAAAATTGGCAAAAATAATTTGCTCGTTAGATGATTATCTATCAACCTGTACTTGTTAAATTACATTTTAACAATTTTTCGCGGAGTTATAGTGTAAAAAAGAACAAAAATTTTCATGAAAAATTTCAATACTGCAGCATCGTTGACTCTTACGTTTGTCAATGAAAACGCTGCAAATTGTGGGATTTGACACCTCTTATGGGAATTTTAAACCGTGCGCAACAATTTTTTGCTAACATCAAAAATGACGTCACAAAACGAAAAGGAGTTTTTAGATGTCTTTTGATATCCTGATTCTCACAGAGCAGCTTCATCAAAATTTTAAAAAGCATTTCATTAGGTATCGCTTTAACTTTGTTACAATGAAGAAAAAAATTTTTTTTCGCATTTTTAATCCCAATTTTTCAGAAATTTCCGTTTTGCAATATAAACAAATTGATGTTACTCCGTTATATTCATTCTTACAATATTGCAACCAAGTGTATTTGATGAAAGGTATTTTTACACGAATTAAAAAAAAAAAAATCATTGCGATAGCATTTTTTTAACAATATTTATTAACAATTTAGTGTTAATCGCAATTGTTCAATTGTTAAAGGTTTTCTTCATTGAAAACAATTTTTTTTTACTTTTTTAGGATATCTCTTATCACTTTGTAAGGGTTACTGATTTTTACACAGATAAACAATGTTAAAAAAAGTAGTATTCTTGAACACTTTTTCGTGCAATATGGTGATTGTATGGTGGGTTGCATGCATTCGGGCTTGAGCAGACAACTGAAAAAACTCATATTCTATGATAATACACATTCGTTATGATTTCATTCTTTTTTGTTTTTGAATAATACTTGTCACATTGTACATAAATAATTGTATCATATCCCGTTAAATACACGTCATAATACAAACTATTTTTAAATTCTTCGTTTTTTTGTTGTCGGAATGTCCTCACTCTCGCTATCTGTAATATCATCGATATCTGCATAAAGAATATCGTTAGAATCATCTTCTAACACGTTGCCACGGACGATGTCAACTGTCTCATGCTCTACTGTTGCTTGAGCTGCTTTCAATACGTCATCCTCTTCGTCGTCATTAACGCATATCTGTTTGTCTGTTAAGTTTGCACAATTTTTTCCTTCACAGTATTTACAGACCATTGAATACTTGATCCCTTTTGTTTTACAGCTGCATCTTTCTCCATAGCCTTTCTTGCATTTACAAGCGATTTTTTGCAAAATCATCTCGGGAATTAGTGGTTGCAGTGTTATAACTGGGAGAAGCCCATTTTCAGTTTTTTTTTCCAGCCCCATTTTTCTACGTCAAGTCCTACCTTCGTACTGAACCACTCGCGTAATTGATAATACACTCTACAGGAGTGCTCTCAAACTGCTCCTTCAGTTGGCGGTAGCATTGCAAATTTAAAATTCTTGTGGCTCGAAATTTTTTGAAATCTTTGAGATTGGAATTCATTTAAAGTACACTCTTTCTCACTAACACCCCCATACATACCTTAAATTCGTGTCTGTCCTGCCCAGTTGATATAATTCGGAAAAGCATTGTCGTTGTAAAATACTTTACACACAGTTTGCAGAACTTTATTTTGGTCCAATACCCTGATTAATTAACCTTTTTCCTGATTAAAAAAAGTAGATGTACTATCACAGCCACTATTTGCATGGATCAGTCCAATGAATTCTTTTATACGGGGGAACTGAAAGCTATTGCTGCCATACGTTTGCGGTTCCTTACCATCTCGACTCGGCTTTAGAAAAAAAAACATTACACTCACGTAGAGCGATTTCAGTATAAATTACAAGTAAGTCGACATCTTCACCGACTATTACTACATTACTGTAGTTTCTTCTTTCAGCAAACGTAGTATGCACTATCAAAGCGTCAGCATCTTCGGGAGCTTGACGAACACAAAAACCTGAGTTATTCAATTTTTGTATGATTTATGAGACAAATCGTTTTTTATTGCTTTTATGTGACAAAAATTGTGACTGTGCGACGGGTGGCACTTTATTTACATCAAAAATATAATCGGGACATGTGTTCTTCTTTAATCTGCGTGATCTTCTGCTGTTTTTGTGTGTTTTAATCTCGCATCTTCCGGGTAACCATCTAAATTTTTTGCAAGAAAAAGTTTATTCACTGTATTCTAGTTGTAAAATTAGGAAACACAAGTCACAAGAACATTGTCGAATAGTCGACGAAAAATTGGCAAGAAACACGGATGATGCGTATTACGTAATACAACCAACGCTCCCAACGGTCTATTTCAAAATGATACATCGTGAGAGGGAGCAACCGAAATAAAGGTTTTTCTACTATACGGAGTGCAGAGTGAAAAGCAGGGATTCTCAAATTTTCACTGGCGCAGAAACCTATTATTCGCATGCGACGCCTGCGTAAATGCAACCCATCATACCATATTACAATCACCATATTGCACGAGAAAATGTTCAAGTATACTATTTTTTTTTTAACATTGTTTATCTGTGTAAAAATCAGTAACCCTAACAAAGTGATAAGAGATATCCTAAAAAAGTAAAAAAAATTTTTTTCAATCAAGAAAACCTCTAACAGTTATCAAATATTTAACAGTTCATCAAATACAATTGGTTGCAATATTGTAGAAATGAATATAACAAAGTAAAATCGATTTGTTTAAATTGGAAAATTGAGATTTCTGAAAAATTGGGATTAAACATGCAAAAAAAATTTTTTTTTTTCATAGTAACAAAGTTTAAACGATTCCTAATAAAATGCTTTTTAAAATTTTGATGAAGCTGCTCTGTAAGGATCAGGATATCATAAGACATCTAAAAACTGCTTTTTGTTTTGTGACGTCATTTTTAATGTTAGCAAAAAATAGTTGCGCACGGTTGAAGATCCCCATAAGAGGTGTCAAATCCCACAATTGGGAGCGTTTTCATTGACAAACGTAAGAGTCAACGATGCTGCAATATTGAAATTTTTCATGACAATTTTTGTTCTTTTTTACATTATAACTCCGCGAAAAATTGTTAAAATGTTATTTAACAAGTACAGGTTGATAGATGATCATCTAACGAGCAAATTATCTTTAGCTATTTTTGCAATACGACGTCCCTAAAAAAAGTTGTGCGCGAAATTCTGAAAAAAAATTCGGTCGATTTTCAGTATTTGTTTAATAAATAAAAATGCCCGCACACTTATTGGGCAAAACTATTTTTCCATCTATCCTGACCATAATACGAAGCGATTCCACCAATTTTGGTCGAAGTGGGGAAAAAATACGTTATTGACCTTTTCTGTGGGCTTCAAGCACCGGCCTACTGTAGGAGATATTAACAGAAAAGACAGTTATGAAATAATCAGAAAATATGATGAAAGCAAGTACTCTTGTACTGGCTAGCCTGGTCATGCCATGGCTATATTCTGTACTTTTATTCTAATAACGTAATATATTCTTTAAAATTGTGTATTTTTGTTCATTAGATAGAAAAATATTTATTAAAACCACACCGAATCAACATACAGATACTAATTCAATTGATTTTGGCTCACCTTTGTACACCATATTGTTTTATAGAAGGTACATTTATATTTTTATATTGTCGACCATAGAATATCATAAAAGTATAAAGCACCCACTGTCCACGGTTTTTTTAGTCATAATTTTCACCATTTTCTTTTAAGAAGTTTAGCACCTAGTTTAATTAATGCATGTGTGTTCTAGGCCAAACTGTGTGTTGAAGGTCTTAGCTTATCTTATGATTATATCTGCAAGAATAATATTCCACACAAAAAAATTGGAAAACTCATAATTGCTACTGATAAACAACAAGTTTCTCAACTCCATGATCTTTATCAGCGAGCATTGGAAAACAACTGTCCTGATGTTCAGCTTCTTGATAAGGAATATATTTCAAATTACGAAGAAAAATGCAAGGTAAATCCAAATTTATGAACAAAGTAAGATCAAAACTATGTTGTAATAAAAAAATTATAAATTTTCACAGGGAGAAAAAGCATTGTGGTCTCCATGGACAGGCATTGTAAACTGGGCAGCTGTATGTCAACATTTTGCTAAGGATTTCAAGGAAATGGGTGGTCATATTTTTTTAAACTTTGAAGTCACAGGTTTTGCAGAATCAATAGAATTGAATGGAGAACTAAAATCAACACCTATTTGTGTACACTCAAAAAATAAAGTAAGACTTATTTTTATTTCCTTATGTTCACTGCTGACATTTTTTTTTTTTAGTATATAGCTGCCAAACACGTTCTAACTTGTGGAGGTCTGTATTCTGACCGATTAGCAGTAATGACTGGATGTAGTCCAAGTCCACATATAGTACCGTTTCGTGGTGAATATCTACTACTCAAAGGCGATAAAAAATCCTTTATTTCTACCAACATTTATCCAGTACCTGATCCACGTTTTCCATTTCTGGGTGTTCATTTCACTCCAAGAGTTAATGGAGATGTATGGCTGGGACCAAATGCCGTATTAGCATTTGCAAGAGAAGGATATCATTGGCAGGATGTAAATTTACAAGATTGTATGGAAATGGTAACATTTCCAGGCCTTTATAAATTCTGCTTTAGACATGTGATCCCAGGAATCAAAGAAGCAACAAAATCTATTTTTTATCAACTCTCAGTAAAAGAATGTTCCAAGTTTGTGCCTAGCATTACACCGAAAGATGTAAAAAGGTGACAACAATAAATTTATATAATCATAAAAAGAAGAATATTTTAAATTATAACGTTTATTATAATTGAATCAATTTTAGGGGTCCAACAGGTGTGAGGGCACAGGCACTTGATGATGATGGGTATCTTGTAGATGATTTTGTTTTTGATAGTGGCATAGGGAACTTTGGTAAAAGAGTTCTCCACTGTAGAAATGCTCCTTCCCCAGGTGCAACAAGCAGTATGTCAATTGCAAAGTTTATATCAGATAAATTGGAAAAAGATTTCGTGTTTTAATTAATTTTTTAATTCGAATTTTAGGTCATATGTTTACAGAAAGTAATTTCTTAGTAGCAAATTAAACTTTTACATACTTTTAATTATAAATAAGTTTTTTCTTCAGCGACTTGTTATTTTGATTTTTAAGTGAATTACATTTTTTTCTAGTTAAAATTGTAAAATTGATGAGAACTTCAAAATTTTTTTTTTCATTGTCAACAAATCTGTTAAATAATTGTATATTACAACTAATTAAGAAAATAAATATTTTCATCAGTACAATAAATAATTAACACAAAAAACACGTGATGGGATACAGAATTACATTTGCTAAATAATTTGGATTTTATGCAAGGACATGAACAAACGTCTGCCAGCAAAATCGTGTGCTGCTGTTACATGAAATGCCATATTAGTGACAACCACAACATACTCCGCTAATGCAAACAATGAGTAAACTGTAAAAAAAGTAAATAATACAGTTAATTATTTTATGATTACACAAAAAAATAGTATGTTACTCACCAAACGGCTCACAATATTTGTTGTGCCTGTAAAAGAAGTAACAAGCTAATACGATAGCAATGACATTGAGTATTAAGGAATTGAATTTCCACCTAAGTGAAGTTATGCTGTTGGTGTCTTTAGTAACGTTGCAACAAGTTTTAGCAACGAGGTAAGATAAAATCATGTGTATGAGGGACATAAAAAGAAACGTCATGAAAGCTATCTTGTGAATCGCTGAAATTAAAACAAAAAAAGTTTATAGTAACTGTTATTAGAAAACAACAGTCTATAAAAAATTAAGCAAAAAAGCATAGATAAAGTGTAACTATTTTAATGGAATACCATAGTCTTCATCAGAAGACCTGAAGCTCAATGTTACAAGAGCAATATTTTCCAGCAAATAGGTGAGGAGAACAAAGTTGATAATACCTTGTGCCCACTTATATACTGTTTCTACATAATACTGGTAGTACATGTAAAGAACCAGGGCTCTAACCATAGCTTGTACTGTAATAGCTGCCTTCCAAATAGTCTTTTGAGGCCTGTAGTGACCAATAGCAGCTGAGACTGAGGGAAGAAAATTATAGACATTGCAGTGAGTTTCAGTAGCATTCTCAAAGTTATACAGGATAGACCAGATAATGCAAAAAACAAAGCTTAAAAACGGCACCAAAACAGTAAACCAAGCTATCTTGGAGAAGGAAAGCACCAAACGAAATCGGTTGACATCTTTGTTAACAAGTGGAATATAATCATAGCCTAACTGCAATCGACTCATTCTTGTAAGTGCCGCCTACAACTGTTTATTGATCACATACAATGATCAGACCCCCTTCTACCTCCTGCACGTAAAAATTGTGATAACAATTTTAAAAAACTTTGACATATACGATGTATACCACTATCAATCGCACATAATAATAATTAATGATTTTAATCAATAATACTTTAGTTGCCCCGTTGCGTTCAAATTCGGTAAATAGCGTAACATAAAAAGTATAGACTGCTCAATGAGCTCATTCTTGAGTAGATCAAGTGCTGGAGCCAAACAGAGGTTCAAAATTAAAACAGCCGCGACTCTAATCATAATTGAAAATTCTCATGATTTGTAAAAATCCGAAATGTTTTTGTCATATTCTGTGCGAGTAAGAAGTTATGCGGTAATTAAAGTAGTGCCATGTAGTTGATTTTTAAATCCAGCCGCAATTTAGACCAAAAGTCCAAAAGATCGAAATCAACAAATTGGCTATAGGTTTGTTCAAGCCAATTCTCGGTGAGACACGGAGTCCTCGGAGAGACTCTCGGAGACTCCGACAATGGAGTGAACAGTGTTCTTCTCTGAGTGTCTCCGAGAGACTCTGACTCGATGACTGTCCCCGAGAACGTATAAGCACACGTAAAGCCGCGGGCACATGGAGAGCGTAACGCGTACCGCGTAACCATTTGAGCCCATAAGAGTGAGAGAGAGATAAAACACAGCGACCAGCTTCGTGCTCAAGACGAAAGCAGACCATCGTCCCAAGGAACATCTTTTCCTGCGCACGTGCGAGCCAACTCACGCACACACTGCCGGTGCGCTACAGCTGAGGGAGAAGAGTCGCGCGGCGCAATACACTTATTCTTCTTCTTATAGCTCTCGACGTGAGCAGAGCAAGAGTCATTGTATATAACGAATAAAAGCCATTTTGTATTTTTATAATAAAAACTGTCGCGTGTGCTTATTTTTCCCTCGTGCTCCTTTTCTTGTGGAAGCACAGCTTTGCCTGTGCAGAACAATACTTCTCACAAGTGGTGACCCCTCAAACTGTTTTATTTATCGTGAGTGCAAGTTCTCGATGAAAAGTTGAGCCGAGGCGAGGATAAACTCTTCGCGCACTGACATCTCCCGTTCGCCACGTAGGCATGACGTCGTCGCCAAAAGGCTACGTCCCGCCGTCGAGAGGCCGGCGCTCGCTAGTGCCAACGTCTCGGGGAGCAAGGGCATGTGCAAAGGGGACGGCCCCGCCTAGGAGCCAAGTTACGACCACGCGCAGAGCCCAACGTTGTTACACGTGCTGCAACGCTACGTCCCGCTTGTGTCTCCCTGTGCCCGCCTCACCGCCATTACAAGAGTTAGATGGCACCCAACCTCTCGCTCCATTAACAACAGACTATACTTGGAACGATACGGAAGCGACAGTCGAGCAGACGTCTCCTGTTGATCCACTGCTGCTAGGGTTCCACCGGACGTACACATAGACGAAAAGCACCACGCAGCAACCGTTGCCGTCGATCCTGCTCCGGCTAACAACAACATTATACACAGCCACCCGCCCGCATCCAGCCCGGTCCTTTCAGACTCCCGTGCCAACTCCAGCGCTGGACTCATGGCCACCATGGAACTACTTCCGTTTTGGCCAAATAAATGGCCGGCCTATTAAACACCCTGCCACATGGTTCACGCAGGCCGAGCTCGTCTTCGCGAACAACAACACCACCTACGAAGATGTGAAGTACGCTCAGGTCGTCAAAGCGTTGGGGCCAATCATCGTCGACGGGCTGTCGGACATCCTCGCAGCACCACCAGCAGAAAACAGGTACGAAGACCTTAAGAAACACGTCCTTGCGAGGTTCTCTGACTCCAAGGACCAACAGCTGCATAAGCTGTTCTCTGGGCTGTCACTGGGCAACAAGAAGCCCTCACAGCTGTACCTACTGCGAGATGAAAAGCTTCGCTGGCAACAGCCTCACAGACGACAGCTTAAGAGTCAAGTGGCTGGACCTGCTACCTGCAGAGGCGCAACCTTTCTTGCGCATCTTTAAATCCACGTCACTTGACGAGCTACTCTACAGGTCGCAGATGAACTTGTCTGCAACTCTTCGTTCTTGCGAACAAATCAAACCTTCGCAGGTGTCTCGCCTGTCTCCTCAGCATACGCCTCGCCTGTCCCGCCACACCAACTGCACAACGAGATACTGCTCCAGGAAATCGCCGCGCTCAAGGCGATGATCACGCAGCTCTCTACAATCAACAGACAACTGCTCGAACTCCTCAAAAATAACAAGGGCAACGGAGGTGCCAGAGGCCGGGACAGGTCGCGCAGCGGAGGACGGAACCAGTCCCCAGAAGCCCACGCCAGGAGCTACTTCCACAGGAAGTTCGGCGTCAACGTCTACTCCTGCAAGAAGCCCTGCACCTTCGTGGTACTAACCACCCAACCAACGGGAAACGCCTAGGGCTGCCTCAGACGCAGACGGCGGAGATCACCCTTCCAACAGGGGAAACCCGTCTGCTCATCAGGGACCACCACCTCAAGGTCGACTTCCTACTCGACTCCAGATCCGTAGTGTCAATCCTGCCCCGGCCGCCAAATTTTAGCCAGGCCCAACGGGAGGCACTGACCCTGTATGCGGCCAACCACTCGCCCATACACACCTACGGCAGCTGGAAGATCAACCTCAACCTGGGCCTACGTCGAGACTTCCAATGGGAGTTCACTATTGCCAACGTCGCCCAGGCTATCATGGGAGCCGACTTCCTGGCAAAACACGGTCTGCTCCCAGACCTCAAACACAAGCGGCTCATCGACCCACTCACAGGTTTGGCTGTCCAGGGCATCCTGTGCGACACCAATCTGCACTCGATTGCAATAATAGAGCAACTGGGATCAAACGACCCGGACGTTGCCAGCCTCTACTCGTGTTGGCTGCACGAATTTGCCGACGTATTCGCGTGCAACAGCGCGCCAGCGGTCATCAACAGCCTCCCAGACTAACATCTGATCATCACCTGCGGCCAACCAGTCTTCGAGCGCCCCCGATGCCTCATCGGTGAGCGATTAGCAGCGGCCAAAGTTGCTGCCGCAGAGCTCCACGACCAAGGGGTCGTCAGGCCGTCCAGCAGTCAGTGGGCTAGTCCACTGCACCTCGTGCCCAAGGCCAACAACTCCTGGTGCGTCACCGGCGACTATCGCCGCCTCAACAGCATCACAGTACCAGACAGGTACCCCCTCCCAATCATCGAGGACATGCTACATGAGAGCCAAGGTCAGGTTTTTACGGTCAGCGACCTACACAAAGCATTTTACCAGGTGCCCATTGCCAGCGGAGACGTAAAGAAGACGGCCGTCACGACACCCTTCGTCCTCTTCGAGTTCCTCGGCACATCACTCAGCCTCAGAAACGCCTCGCAAACCATGCAGCGCACGATGGACCAGCTGCTGCGCAAACTTCCCTTCGTTAAGGCCTACATCGACGACATCCTCGTCGCGTCACAGACCTTTCTTGAAGCAGGCAGGCTTCGAGGTAAACCTGGCGAAATGCACATTTGGCAAACCTCAGGTCATCTACCTGGGCTTCCAGGTTTCGTCAGAAGGTTGCCAGCCACCAACAGCGAAGGTAGAAGCCATCAAAGTTCTTCCCAAGCTAACTACAATGTCCGAACTTCGACGGTTCCTGGGGGTAATAAATTATTACTGCAGGTGTGTTACCCACGCCGTGCAACTGCAGGTGCCTTTCAACGAGCTGCTCAAGGGCCTGCCCAAAAAAGCTAAGCTCAAGTGGACCACACCAGCATCCCAGGCGTTCAATAAATGTAAGGCCAGCGTCATTGACGCCGCTTGCACGACGTTCCTGGCCCCAGACGCCCCCTTGGCGTTCCGCACGGACGCTTCGAGCACAGCCATCGGAGCTGCTCAGCGTTGGGTTAGGCGGATTCAATATTGGAACTTTTTCCCTGGATCGTATATATAGCTATACGATCTAGGGAGAATGTCCCGTCGAGCAGACAGCACAGCAGTGAAGGGGCATTGCCAAAGACTCGCGAAAATTAAAAATTGTAATATTATAACACAAGTGCCTATCACCCAATGACCCGGGGCGCTAACTGGCCTCTCTATTAAATAATAAAGTATTAATTATTAACACAAGCGCCTATCACCCGATGACCCAGGGCGCTTACTGGCCTCTCTATTAAATAATAAAATATTAATTAACAGCACAAGCACCTACCACCTTATGACCGTTGCGCTATTAATTAATAATATATATCGTTTAATAAAGCGACCAGTAAGCGGCCCGGGTCATCGGGTGATAGGTGCTTGTGTTAATAATTAATACTTTATTATTTAATAGAAAGGCCAGTTAGCGCCCAGGGTCATTGGGTGATGGGCACTTGTGTTATAATATTACAATTTTTAATTTTCGCGCGTCTTTGGCAATGCCCCTTCACTGATGTGCTATACGTCTGCTCGACGGAACATTCTCCCTAGATCGTATAGCTATATATACGATCTAGGGAAAAAGTTCCGCTATTGAATCCGCCTAACCCAACGCTGGAGCTGCTTTGGAGCAGCTTTAGCCGTATTGTTTGTGGCACCCTCTGGGATTCTTCTCACACAAGCTAGATCCCACGCAGGCCGGGTACAGCACGTACAACAGAGAGCTCTTAGCAATCTACGCCTCTGTTAAGCACTTCGAGAGGATACTAGAGGGCCGCCCATTCACCATCTTCACGGATCACCGTCCCATCACCTTCGTTGCCTTTCAACCAGCAACCAAGGCTTCGCCTAGACAAGCTACCTTGAATATATTTTTAGGTTTAACTCAAGCCTGGTCTACGCTAAAGGTGAAGACAACGTCGTGGCTGATGCTCTCTCCCGGCCGCAAGACGACCCCAAGACACCGCCCCCCAAAGCTTTAGCACCAGCTGCGAAACCAATCGAAGTAGCGACCACCGACGTCGCCCCAACGACTCAGCTGCAGACACGAGTCACCACCGTTGGAATGCCCTCGATCGTCAGCCCAGCCGTCATCGCCCAAGAGCAGGCGCACGATGCACAGCTCCTCGACCTGCTAAGCAACCTATTTATGGAACAACCTGGTGTTCCAGCAGCTCAACATTAAGGGCCACTTCGTCTATGGAGACATCACACAAGGCGTGGTGTGGCCGTACCTACCAGCGTCTCTTCGGTGCACAGCCTTCGACGTTGTGCATGCTCTCTCACACCCCAGCGGCAAAGCCACGGCCCACACCCTAAATTAGAAGTTTGTCTGGCCAGGAGTGCGCAAAAACGCCTTGGCCTGGGTTAAAACTTGCGAAGCCTGCCAGTGCTCCAAAATTAGTCGCCACACCCGATCAGCGCTAGGCAGATTCACCGAGCCCGACAACCACCTGGAGCATGTCCACATTGACATCATCAAGATGCCTCTAGTCGCAGGCATGCAGTACTGCCTTACGATCATTGATCGGTTTACTCGCTGGCCACAAGCGATCTCGCTGTCCAACATCCAGGCACCCACCATCGCCAAAGCCTTTTTCGATCAGTGGATCAGTTTCTTTGGAACTCCGCTCCTCATTACCTCAGACCGTGGTGCCCAGTTTGAGTCGAGCCTCTTCAAGGAACTGGCCCAGATAATCGACACAAAGCTGTGCCACACAACCTCGTATCACCCGCAGTCCAATGGCATGGTGGAGAGGTTCCACAGGACCCTCAAAGCAGCCCTGCGCTGCTGCCCGCAGTCTTGGCTAGACTGCCTCCCGACTGTGCTCCCGGGACTCTGCACAGCCTACAAAGAGGACCTGCAAGCCTCTCCAGCCGAAATGCTCCTCGGACTCTCACCCAGAATTCCAGGGGATTTCTTCACCACCGAGTCAGTCCAGGCCAACCAATCTACGTTCACGCGGAGCTTGCGACAACTCCTCAGAGCCATCAGACCAGTGCCTACCTCGAACCACTTGGCCCAGCACCCGTTCTGCTTCAAAGACCTGTCAACCTGCTCGCATGTGTTCAAGCGTGTCGACAGAACCCGAAAGCCGCTGGAACCACCCTACACCGGCCCAAATCGTGTTGTTCGCCGTCTCAATGAGCGCAACTGCGTTCTCGACATTAATGGCAAAGAAGAGGTGGTGTCCATGGACACGCTTGAACCGGCATACATGAAGCAAGCTGACTCCGTCCTCGAGCAGCCCACAGTGCCAAACACAGCTGCTCAGCCGCCATCGCAACCTCTGTCGCCTGCACCCAACACCGCTGCTCAGCCAGAAGCGCCCAGCGCCGCTGATCAGCCCTCGCCGCAACCCACGTCTACCCCAACTGTCCAAGCCCCCTAGTCTTCAGCAACTCACCATGTCTCGTTCCCGGCTCTTACGCCGGTCACTGAGGAGGGAGTGGATGTAGCGTCTCAGCCACAGCGATCAGCTTCGTGCTCAAGACGAAAGCAGACCATCGTCCCAAGGAATATCTTTTCCTGCGCACGTGCGAGCCAACTCACGCACACACTGCCGGTGCACTACAGCTGAGAGAAAAGAGTCGCGCGGCGCAATACACTTATTCTTCTTCTTATAGCTCTCGACGTGAGCAGAGCAAGAGTTATTGTATATAACGAATAAAAGCCATTTTGTATTTTTATAATAAAAACTGTCGCGTGTGCTTATTTTTCCCTCGTGCTCCTTTTCTTGTGGAAGCACAGCTTTGCCTGTGCAGAAAAATACTTCCCCCAGACTCACTCTGACACTCAGACACTGTTTACTTTTTTAATTCATCTGACCTAACGTGTGCATATACATTCTCGGGGACATTTAGAGTCTCTCGGAGACACTTGGAGAAGAACACTTGTTCATTCCATTGTCGGAGTCTCCCAGAGTCTCTCCGAGGACTCCGAGTCTCACCGAGAATTGGCTTGAACAAACCTTATGATTGCTTTTTTTTACGTTCAGTTAGTCTATCTGTTGGCTAACTGCTCGAGCAAGGCTCCCAAAGACGATACCCACAACGCGCATGATTCAAAATTTAAAAATTAATAACTCAAATGCCTATCACATAATGATATGGGGCACTTACTAGCCACTCTATCTAATAATTTGTTAAACTATAACACAAGCGCCTATCACTCGATGACATGGGGCACTTACTGGCCACTCTAATAAGTAAATAATTTTTAACTAAAAACACAAGCGCCTATCACCCGATCGCCTAAAGTGCTTACTAGCCACTCTGTTAAATAATAAATTATTAACTAATAACACAAGCACTTATCATCTGATGACCCAAGACACTGGCCACTCTGTTAAATAAATAATCATCAACTAATAATACGAGCGCCTATTACCCAATGACCAGGGGAACTTACTAACTACTTTATCAAATAAAAAATTATTAACTAATAACACCAGCGCCTATCACCCAATGACGCAGGGTGCTTACTAGCCACTGTAATAAATAATAAATTATTGATAGATAACCCAAGCGGCTACCACTCGATAACCCAGAGCGCTTGCTAGTCACTGTATTGAATAAATAATTATTAACTAATAACACAAGAGCCTGTCACCCAATAACCTGGAGGGCTTACTGGCCAGAGCTAAATTATAAAGTGTTTATTAATAATAAAAGCCCCAATTATCAAAGATGTTAGAGTTGTATTGGACAATTAATTAAAATACTGAATTGCTGATATATGGTATCAGTTAATATTTTATTATGAAAAAATGTAGCCAGTAAGTGCCACGGGTGATCGGTTGATAGGCACTCGTGTTATTAGTTGAATATTATTTATCAAATAAAAAGACCAGTAAGTTCTTCAGGTTATCAGCTGATAGGTGCTTGTGTTATTTATCATAAATTCATAATTATTTATTTAACAGAGTAACCAGTGAGCGTCCTGGGTCATCGAGCGATGAGTTATTGTATTATTAGTAAAAATTTATTTAACACAGTGGCCAGTAAGCAATCCGAGTCATCGGGTGATAGGCGCTTGTGTTATTAGTTAGTTATTTTTTATTTAATAGAGTGGGCAGTAAGCTCCCCGGGTCATTGGGTAGTAGGCACTTGTGTTATTAGTTAATAATTATTTATTTAATAGGGGGGCCAGTAAGCTCTCCGGCTCATTGGGTGATAGGCGCTTGTGTTATTAGTTAATTATTTATTATTTAACAAAGTGGCCAGTAAGCGCTTCGGGTGATCAGGTAATAGGCGCTTGTGTTATTAGTTAACAATTTATTATTTAACAGAGTGGTCAGTAAGTTTCCCTGGTCAATGGGTAATAAGCGCTTGTGTTATTAGTTAACAATTTATTATTTAACAGGGTGGTCAGTTAGTTCCCCTGGTCATTGGGTAATAGGCGCTTGTGTTATCAGTTAATAATTATTTATTTAACAAAGTGGACAGAAAGCGCCCTGAGTCATCGGGTGATAGGCGCTTGAGTTATTAGTTAGTGATTTTTTATTTAATCGAGTTGCCAGTAAGTGCTCCGGGTTATCTGGTGATAGGTGGTTGTGTTGCCTTTTGGCAAACAGCGCGCTTAAAACGTTTCGAACGCAATACAACTTTTATACAAGATCTATTACCATTTCTGCTGGCTGTGCCTGTATCTCTCATGGCTGCCGTATCTGTACCGCATTCGCCCGTGCCCATGACCTGCTCTTATGCCTGCAGCGCCCATGGCTGCCGTGTGCTAGTCCTGCTCTTGTGCTCATGGCTGCTGGATCCCACCTGAAAAAAAATTTTGGTATTTTCTATGTAGAATTACTTCTGTAATACTTTCAGGAAAGCCATACGGCATTACCCATGGTTTTACATATGGCATTACATAAAGTGTCTTAGCTTGGTGATGCCATATGTAATTTCAAATGGAAAAACACATGAAATTACTAATTAGAAAAAGAAAAAATTTCTACCATCTAGAAATAACTGGAAAATACCATAATAAGTTATTTGCAGTTACCAATTTGTCTTACCATCGGGATGATAACTCCAATTAAAACAAGGGGGTTCAGCTGATTTTACTTCTATATAAAAAAACTTATTTTTTTAAATTTTTCTTTTTATTCCTGAAATACAACTTGAATCCCCTTGTTTTGGAGTTATCATCCTGATGGTAACACTATTTATTCACAGTAAATGACGCATTCCAATTTGTAATTCTATGTGTTTTTTCAACTGGAATTACATATGGCATTACCAAGCTAAAACCCCTTATGTAAAGCCATACGTAAAACCATATGTAATGCCACATGGCTTTCCTGAAGGTATTANTATATAAAAAAACTTATTTTTTTAAATTTTTCTTTTTATTCCTGAAATACAACTTGAATCCCCTTGTTTTGAAGTTATCATCCTGACTAATTGTTCACAGTAAATGACGCATTACAGTATTCTGCAGTTATTTCTAAATGACAAAATTTTTTTCTTTCTTCCAATTTGTAATTCTATGTGTTTTTTCAAATGGAATTACATATGGCATTACCAAGCTAAAACCTTATGTAATGCCACACGTAAAACCATATGTAATGCCACTTGGCTTTCCTGAAGGTATTACAGAAGTAATCACTCATGGAATTCCGTCTTTCTTTTTCAGGTGGGATTAGTCCCCGTCCCGCTCTTCTGCTCACCTGCACCACTAATTCCCCCGTGCTCGTTTAAAACACGCGATTCTAGTATATCCCATTGAAACTATCGAGCATAGTGCTAATGCTCACTCTCAAAAGCTGGTACAGTTATGGGCCAGTCCTTGCGTGGGTACAAGCACACCCCCCTTTGCCGCCTATGCTTGTAGAGCACTACTTCTGACCACCACTTATACTCTACTTCACCGCTTCTTAGTAAAGAGCAGTGGGCAGAGATGAGTAGAGAGATTGCTAACGCCAATGCTACGAGGTGAGACGACTTTTTGGCACTGATCAGGGCGACCCGCCGCATTCAGCCGTCGTATCAAGGAGTACATTTTTTGAGAGTACAAGATTCGTATCGAACAGCATGTGCTTACGAGTAGAGAAGTGGATTCGCGTGGAAATGAGCATATAGGCGTATATTTTGGAAACACGTGGAAGGGGTATACTGAATGTGTGCGTACGAGGAGAGGAACGAAAATGTTGACTATAGCTATATAGCTGAGTGCACAGCCAA